CCCCAAAACCCCAAAACCCCAAAACCCCGAGAGATGATAATAAAGAATTATCAGAGATATATTCAAAGTTTATTATCATTTTAGTAATTAAAGTGCTTGCGTACTAAATGGGTAATCATTAATCACCGCAAAATAATGAATAAATATCATGCTTAATGGATGAAAATCATATATAACTTTAAAAACCTTAGAATATAGAGCAGTAAATAAAATAATACTTAGACAATGAGGATAATTATACCATAGGTTGCACAAAAATTTAAAAATAAGCTACTAATCTGAATTAATTCCATATTAACAGAAGCAAATTTAGCATTCTTCTCGTGCCAAAATCTCGATACTTACTCTACATAGGAAGAGAAACAATATAAGTCTATTACCGATAATGTTCATCAAGGCAGAGGGTTAAATTCTTATTCCAGTTAAACCATTTAGAAGCTTTAAAGAATGTAGTAGCGATTTCTCCAACTAAGATAGCCTTATTGTTTTACTACTTTTTTGGTATATTTGATTTGAAGAAGAGAAAGATGAGATTATTTGGCACTGCCTGTGGGAATAGGAACATATAAAGATTTGACAAAAATACAATAATGTACCTAGATAAAGATGCAGTCTTTGTAAATTGGCAGAATTTTCAATGCTAAATACTTGTTTATAGTGAGGATTTGCAGCCGAACAAGATGAAAGTAATACCCTAAAATGGCTCAAGAAAGAAGAAATCGATATTAAACCTTGACTAAGTGCATCAATGTGGTTAAAACTGATATGTGATAATTAGAGATAATATATTACTGAAATGTACCCTTGTCAAGTAAGATGGTGAGATCGTGTGATTAGAAAAACTAGAACAAGTTAAAATATCAAAGTGCAAGACTGTAGATAATTTCTAGTGGATAAATGATGAATAATTTTTGGTTTTATACTAGCACAAGCAGAATAATTTCGATAGTCTAATGCAAGTTAGAAATTGGGAAAATCATCTGCTTTATTAAATAAATTTTGAACCCAATTGTATTCCTTTGATGAAGTCAATAACACTAAAATTATAAAACATTCAGAGTAAAGAATATTAATGGAAACAGATAATTGTTGTATATTAAAGGGCAGAAGTAGAAGATATAATAATAGACGTTGGCGAAGGAAAGGTCTATTAGACATTTGCCTTTAACAATCTTCTGCCTTCATTTGATAAGCACAGTCAGCTCTCATAGTCACTTTTATATGGAGTAATTAACTAGCAATAAATACTTAAAAAGCCATTAAAAGGGAAAATTTACATCTATACTCTGTTTGCTTTTGAAAAAAAATATATTTTTTCACTAGTCAATAATACCAAGATTTGAGAAAATGATAAATACGATGAGATTATAAGTAGTAAAAAAATTACAAGCGTAAACTAATTAATTAATGCATATATATTCTAAATAATATTTAATTCATATTAATTTAAATGTCAATGAGAGGGGTTTTGGGGTTTTGGGGGTTTTGGGGTTTTGGGG